ATTTGGAACATACATATATATATATATATATATATATATATATATATATATATATATATATATATAATTGGGAACATATAGAAACAATATTCTTAAATCTTATTAAGATTTACAGATTGCACAATTTCTGGTCTAATGCAATGGTAATTAATGATATGTTGTTCCATTGTCTCGTTTTCACGTAGAATCCAATAACATATCTTACAATGTTTCTGACAATGAAACTTGACATGAGTTGATAAGGACAGTAAAGTGGCAATTGGTTCATGACAATAATTGCATTTGTATCCTAAAATGCGTTGCTCAGCAATCTAGAAACGAACAATTTAAAATAACAATAAAGTGATTTTCCAGACAATCTAGAATTCTAAAATCTCTAAGGAACGACAATCTAGAATTCGAAGATCTCTAAAGAACGAGGACATTCTCAGGACGTAGGGACGTTCTCAGAATGTCTTTAGAATGTCATGTGGAGATCTGTGCTGTTTGGATTCTATTTATGACATTTATATATCTTCCTAAGTGTATAATATAATTCGAATATTTCTCTAGGATTTTCTTTATAAATAATTTCTATACTCACGACAGTCGCGTCACCACTACCATCACTGACATTACGTCCTAACTTTTCGGGAATAACGGTGTATTGCGGCACTTTTGAGTCGATGTTTTGTTTTCGTCGCAATTGTATCGGCAATATGATGGATCGTTTCTGCATTTCGACCTGCAAATTATTTTCTGCATCTCGACCTTAGTCATTCCATTCTGTCATTTTGACACGTCGAAGAATGCGCGCTTTAAAAATCGTCCGTGAATGGTGCGAAGATATTTGTCGATATTACTCGATACAAGAGCATCAATATTTGAATGAATTTGAATTTTTCGTTTTCTATTCGAAGGTCGAAATTATCAGAGACTGAGTCTCATTCTTGCGGAAAGTTACCTTTCTCATGGTCTGTACAGGTGTACGGATATCGTATACAAAGTCTTTCTTTGTCATCTTCTCGCTAATGTTGCGATTACATCGCAAGTTGTATTTAGAAGCGTCCACCAACTTGGCGGTTGATGATATAATCTCTATTTCTTGATAAGCGTTCATGTCCACGTGCGTTTGCCAATAGTATATTTTCTGGTATTCGCAGGCGATCATCGATTGTTATGAAACAAATGCTCGTCATATGGGTAATTGAGTATGCATTCAAAAGCAACGTATTTTTTACGGTGATACTCTTGAAATACTAAAGATCAAACGAAAAAATGACTCGGTGTAGTTGTCACTGACATTTGAAGCTATACTACTCCGTAAAAATATAAGCGATAAATGCCGAGTAAGTGTGACGTAAGTGGAATTTGAGTTTATTACGAAATGTATTTATTTGTATCATAATGATAATTACAGATGCTCCTTACAGCACTAATTTCCCGTGTCGCGAGAATCACATCGATATAAGATTTAGCAAAACGCATTTCTTCTGTAATATTATTTGCTTAACACGTCAATTCATCATAAAATCGATTTCGTATTAAGTTACTAAAAGTTCGTACACAAACAAAGAATGAGTAGAGAGTAATCTAAATTTGTCTTAGGTCTATTTCGTACTTGATAACCTGCTGTACGCCGAAGGATGAGACGCTGCTCTCTTCGTCTTTTAACCGTTACTTCCTATCGCGGCATTAGTGAAAATATCGCGATTTTATGTACAAGTGATTCTACGAATTACCCTAGCCATAAAAGTTCAGCCGCCGTTGTATATAAAGTAGCTAAAAATAAAACATTAAAAATAAATAGAACCACTTTACCTAAAGAGACAAGTACACTACGGCGCGATAATAATTTCGTATGACTAGAGAATCGTGGCATTGGAAGGTGATTAAAATGTATAATTGTTAAGAGAAAAAGTATTTGTACAAGTCATCTTATCCATTAATCCATCATATTAATATATATATATTAATATATATATATTAATATATATTATATATTTTCTTCATAACATATTAAATTTATTGGAATTATTAATATATATTGTATTAATAATTCAAATAACATTTAATATACTAGGAAAAGATACATCGTAGTAACATTTTTTTGTATAAGATCTCATTCTAAAAAAGGTAGAATGTACAAATACTCTTTATACTCGATGTCTATTAAACGTAAAAATATCTTCTTGTGTGAGTTTTCTTTTAACTTTATAAAAAAATTATGCTAGTTCTCACACATCCAAATCATGTACATTTGGAATATGCTAATCATTATTCGACGTTATTTTCATTTTTTGACATATGCGGTATTTGTTGTACAACGTACCTCGGCGAGGTAAATCGATCAATTGTCGCCGTATGTAGAGCCTGCGCAATTATATTGAAAACACAAAATGACATAAAATGCAGTAACGTTAAGTATGGATACTTTACGTATAAAATGTAAGCTTTCAGGTAGGCCTTTGATGTTAGAAATAGGCGTTATCGTTGATCGTTGGCCACACGCAGAGAAAATGAGAGAGAACGAAAAGAAAAGCATGCGTTCTCTCTGTGTGTATATGTATGTATGTAATATTAAATATTTCGAAGACGTAATAACATCTATAATGCCGAGAGCGCTGGGACGACTTTACTCTCGGGCATACTTGCGACTATTTAATTATTATTACTATTAAAATAAATCATGGATTCGACGTGACAAAGATGAAAATGCTTTATTCCGAAATGATAATCATTGCGCGAATCATTTAGATTCTATCTAAACGAACTTTCAGGCGTGACGACGTTAGGACTGTTGGTTCCGTCTAAGAGAAGAATCTTGATGCGACAACAGCGGTATCCTCTCTTGTCGAACCTCGGGAAGCGTCGCTAGCTCCTGTGCCGGACTACGCGGCCATATATTTCTCGTTGCAATTTCTTGATAACCGCGTCTTCTTACCTAGAAGCCGAACGGTTCTACCTTGACATATCCGAGCATTCTTCTCGTAGCCACTCACATCAATCGTTAGCGTCATCATGTCGCGACCACGACGATTACACAAAGATTACGAAAGCGGATTGAAGTACTTACTTGTCTGTGATGAAGCTCGTGCAGGTACAATGTAGACAATGACATGTCGGCAGCGGTTAACTCCGTAGGTACAGATAGATCCGTGGATACTTCATGACCCGGCTCGAACACCGAAGCACCCAGAGACTGATTCGATATTACCTGTTGCAAACCATACAAGAATCCTCTCTCGTTGTGCAGCGGTCCTTCTGCTCTCCTCAAACCATGATGTACCGCGCACGACAAAATGTCGGACCTAGTGCTGAGTGACTGATCGACGCCCGCTGACGCGCCCGACGTACCTGGCTGATTGCTGAAAATGTTACTCATGCTGGGTACGCTCGCTTGATTTACCGCTGTACTGCGCATGATACTGGATACAATGTTGTTATACTGCAAGAAAACGCAACATATCAACATATCAATGATAAATCGAATCAAATACTGCCAATGAAGAAAACGAGAAAGGCTCGTCGATATAAAAGCCGCTGTTCTGAAGGGAAGATTCGATCGAAGTCAGAACGTGCATGTGAAGATGTGAAGACTCACGTCTGACTATGATCGGTTCTCTTCTCGACTTCGGCTTATTAATAGACTAATTGAGAAATAAGCAAAACACTTACACCAGGTCCTAGACCAGACAAGCTGTTTAAGCTAGCTATGAGAGGATTGTTATCGGGAACTGCGTTTACTTCCTTTTTGGCTCTTTCCTTTAAAGCAACCACGAAATTCTCCGCGTAACTCGGCGGCTTCCACTCCGGATTAGTGAGTGTGAAGTGTATAAGAGACAACTCGGTCTTGCCGTCCTCTGCTTGAGTGTAGTGATTGGACATCGGCACGTGAAGTTTCTCAGGATCGACGCAATACCGATTGTCATATCCCGCGCTGTGGTCCTCCGTAGGTAGCGGAGAAACTGTGGGACTGTGCGCCACGGTCTGCCACATGGGATTACCGTGTCTACGCACGTCCATCTGGGCGAAGCTGCAGACGTCACCCACCCCGGCGACCTCGATAGTGAAGTTACGGTAGAAGTCTACGATTTCCAAGGCTCGGTGTCTCATATGGAAGCACAGTATATATGGCGTCAACAAGGGAGACAGCAGTTCTTCCAAAAGGTGCACCGCGCGGTATTGAAATAACTGCGCCATTTGCGACCTAGTACTCTGCGTATGAGCGTAACCTCTCCAACTGTCCGGTCTATAATGTGTGTGCGCCAAGACAGCGGTTAAAAGAGTCTCCGGGCACCAGACGAGATTTTCATCCGGTATAAACGTCCTCGCGCAAGCTACTAATCCGCCCAGGATAGTTATGATCGTTATTATGTGTTCCACCGTCAGAACAGCATCGTTGTACAACGTTAGAGACACCAATACCATTAGTACGCTACCGGCGATGAACACAACGTTCTTCGCAAAAACCGTCATTATCGGAGATGTGAAGCTACTCATGTACTTAGAAGCGGGACGGTATGCGCGATTCAGACGTGCGTTCAATTCGTGGTCGAGTTCGTTGAAGTGACGCAGATACAGACGACCATACAGAGACCACGTCCTAGTACCCAAAGTACCCGGTTCTCTTTTGATAAGCTGTACAAAAAGATTTTCATTTCTTAGTATATTACGCGCTGCCTTAGGCGCTGGTCGTCATGCCGAAACCACTTTATTATCTAGGATTCGCATTGTAATTACTCACCTCACCGTAATTAAAGAACGAATAAAGAATTTGCCATAGGAGAATAAGAGGACATAAGACGAAATTTGTTACACCGACCCACAGGATGTGTTTGGACAATAACCGCGCGAGTTCTTGTCTTTTGTTTAACTTCTTATAGTCTTCTTTTAAGTGCCAGTTGTTTTCAAACGGTGACCATGGTCCCCCTGTGTGTAAAGAATGCATGCAGTTAGCGAGGTTTACTCTTAAACTTACAAAAAAGTCCAATATAAGAATACTTACAGAATAACAATAATTCCATATTGTACTTTAGTCCTCGCGTCATGAAAATAATATCTCCTATAATGGGGACTTTCAACCGTACAGGTAAGATGGATTTGTTGATCATAGCTACCATGTAATTCTTAAATCTTAATATCCTGTGGTATATATCTAACTCAGTAAGATCCTTCTTGTGTATGCACATCTCCTGAACCTTTTGTACCTCTATCACTCGCTTCTGGACTTCGTGCCAAGTTAAATTGTCTAGATCTCTATCATCAATCTTAAGCTCTGTGTTGAAGAACTGTTTCATATCCCAGAATTGTGTCAAGTGGTACAGAAATATGAAGAAACGCAAGATCCAGAACATAGCTGCGACCAGAATGCAGATCCAAGTAATTAGATGCATTGACGCCGTGCACTCGCTCGAGGACAATATGGCGTCTGTTATTATAGTTTTGGACGTAGTACTATTAGCAACTCTATCTCTAAAAATACATATAAAAACAATTAGAAATTGCTTTGAAAATGTCTTTTAAAATACTAGATAGACGACGGGAACAATACCGCAACGTACTTGAATAGTACGGAGTAATCCACACAATGGAAGAGGAAAGCCGTGAATGCGACTACAAAAATGAATCGTGTTAATTCAGAAATTTCTTGGAACATCATGCACGCAAAGCCATGCTTCTGGTGATAGTGGTACATCCGTGTGAAGAATGAATCCAAATCCTCGATGTGATTCCATCGTGCTTTGTTCCCTTCCACCATGTGGATTATCATGTCCTGTGGCGTCTCTTCACGTTCGTCCTCATCGTCTGCATCTCCCTCATGTCTCCCATAAGGATCCATACGTTGGTAACTACAGTCCAGGACCGTCGTCATCTGCAAATGCAAATTATATTGAGCTCCATTCGATTCTATGTAACTGATGAGCACAATTACTCTACATATCTCATTTAAAAATCAGATACTAGACAATTAACAAGTATATCACATAATATACAAATAGTAGACAATATATTACATAGTAGACAAAAATATGGACAATGAATATGAATTCAAATTAAAAAATTAAGCATTATACATGCCGATAACATAATTTAAACAAAACCAAGAAAGAGAAGTATATGAGAGGATTAAGTATACTTGTTCTCCCATTTATAATTTAGACATAAATATGCAGTTCCTTTCCATGCATTTTTCATGTGATTCACGTCTATATATTTGTAAACAATGCACAAAAAAATGTTTATATCTCAGGAAGATAGTGATGTAATACATTGACAAAAGAACTGTATACTAAACATATAAACTATACTAGAAACATATCACAATAGCATACATGTTTTGCTTCATCAAGAGTTACCGTTTGCGCTCGTCGATTTGGCTCCACACAGGTAATAACAGTATCTCGTTTCATCCTTTCATGTCATTCACTTTTTTCAGCTACCGGTTGATAGTTGTTCTGCAAGCATCTAGAATGCAGTTACTGAATCAAGATATGCTATAAGCTGGCAGCTTCTAATTACGTATTAAGATTCTTAATAAATAATTATATCAAGATTTTGTATCAAAAGTATATAAAAATTTTTAACCTGGGAAAATCTTATATATTCTCACAATAGACCATCTATGTTTAAAAAAATTCTCCTAGATTGTTTACAAGGAGCACATTCTATTACGATACACAGATAACAACAATGAAGCAATTGTATTGTAAGATTATGAGGAATGATTCATATCTTTTGAAATAATATAAGTTTCCATTGTCAATATACAATAAACTGAAAACATCACGATTCTTGCCACCTGTTTAACTGTCCAGAAACATACAAATTCTTTCGAAGGAATTCTCCTTTATTCCACTGGACTTTATCATGGGATTAACTTAGCTGCTTGCTCAATCGATTGCTCATCGAATTGCACATTTATCCTTGAGCTCATTTCTTTTAGTGATATATTAATAAGTGACGTACTTCACTTACACTTCCATCTCTTTCTCGAATATAATATTCAGCAACGAACGTGCATGCTCCTACTATGCACTAGAAACGTAAAAATTGAAAGCACTTGCGGCACACAGTTAAAGTCCATGGCGTATTAAAAATTGAACGATCTTTGCACACAACGGTGACACAACTGAACAAACGCAAAATGCGACGCGAAAAGAAGAATTCTCGTCAAACGAGGGACATGATTCTGCTCAGAGCGCGGGAAAACGCTGATCCGTATTAAAAGTCCGTCGAAATTGTTGGTTAGAACATGATATGACTTCGTTCTGCTTCTTTTCTCGAAGGATACAACGTACCATCGGATTCTCTGAATGAACGACAGCGTGACGCGCCGTCGTAGGTTGCAACGCTCGTCGCTTTGTCCCCGTATTCGGCTGACCTTTATCAGACGAAAATAGCAGCATCGGCCGCTGATCGCGACAGTGCGCGAAGCAGGAAGGGTAACTCGAGTGTTTTGGAGCACAGCTGATCTCCATAAACAAAGCACATCCCGCTTTGTTTCCTTACCTTCTCGCCCACGAGAGACCTCCGTGTGATTCGCCACGATAAATCGACGAGCGCTTATTATTCCTATTTGTCAGTCACGAGGAATAATTACTCGCTAACATGTTCACCTATGTACGAGCTGTTGCTCACTGAAAATTTAGACATCAGGGAGTTAAAAGTACACGACAAGCTCCCCACGTTTCACCATCTTTGCCAACGAGTTTCTTCTGCGCGCTCCCGTAAGAGGGGAGTAGTCAGTATTAGAAGGAGAGGGTAAGGTCCATAGGATACACAGAACAATAAGACTTCAGCGATAAAAAAAATCCACCAATCATAGTCGAGAATTTCAACACGGTAGTAATCTTAAGTTCTCGACGAGTCTCGATCATGATTGGCCGCGATTCATTAAAGTTAGATATTTTTCTTGTCCAATTATCCGATTGGTGAAAAGTTGTCGAACAAGGGTATTTAGTTTATATCTTAATATGTTCGTTTTAATCATATTTTGAAAAAAAAAACATTTAAAAAGAAAAAGACATACGTTGGAGTTTAAAGTATATTATATATTTCCGTAAAACTACTCTTTTTCCCGCCGTTTCACAAAAGAGAGTTATTATTTCTGTATTACCGATGGTGGTTGATAATGTAGAGAGCTGTTGATTATTTATTAGATGTTTTCATAACCGCCAACATTCAAAAACTCTACAGGAATCTTTCTGTTCCTACAATCAAGTTCCATAGTTTCATCCTCAGATAATAGAAAATCAATATGATTATAAAAATCAATATAGACATGAATCAAATTTTCCTATGTAGTCTTCCAGACATAATGTCTAAAATCGGGACATAAGACGTTATAAAGATAATCTTTAAGACGTTTTAAAGATATTTATACATAAATCGTCTGAAAGCTATCTTAAGCCGGTATTCATAGTCAGATCTTATATTTAAGATCATCTTAAATACTATCTTAAGATGTCATAAACCAATCACAGAACCGTATTCGCATTTCAAGACATTATTTAAGACTGTCTTGAAATAAAATTCGACTATGAATACCGGCCTTAAAGATGATCTTTAAGACGTCTTATGTCCCGATTTTAGACATTATGTTGTCTGAGTTATGACCTCTTCAATAAAAATTTAAAAACAAAATTTTCGTTTTTAAATTATGGGAAACATCGGCTTCATAATCATAAAAGTTGAATTCTCTCCCTTTACTCTTAAGAACTTAAGAAATTATAGTCTTCCTTTTATTTTCTTCCTTCTTACCGATCCTGTGATTTTAAGATCAGTCTGAACAAATTGAATAAACTTCGCCGTTTTTTCAGAGAATCTCTGGGAAAACGCAATGCGATTTAGTTTTACATATGTTTAATTGCAATATTTACAGTGTATCTTGTGTGTGGGTCATTGTAATTACAAAAGTATTCATACGCATCGCGCACGCAATAGTAGTCCTAAAAATATGATGTCGGAAGAGAAATACAGATAGCATTACGTATGTGAATACATATATATGCATAGATCGCGTTAAAGATAATATTTCAATATAACATCGCAAGCACTAATTATTAAATAAAATTCACCGATTTAAATAGACGATATATAGTTATAGTTATCGAAATAAACGATAGTTACAGTATATTGAGATATCTGAACGCGCGCATCTATATTGTGAATTATCAATATTATAGTTTAATTACTAGGTTTACTACATTTTTAACTTTACATATATGTATGTAGTACGCGCGGATTCAGCGTGTAAGATAAATTGAAAATTGCACAAGTAGCCCTAGTCGTGATGTTCAGACATTTATGTAACTTGTTATCGTAATTAGGAGAAGGATCGTATCGAACGTATGACCGAGTTGACGAGATAAGATAATCGTATCAACGTCGAATATCTACACGTAATCCATATGCAATTGACCTACACTATTACTTCGCGACTGATATTTCTAATTTGAGTAAACAATAAATTCTAAAAATAAATTGTAATCTAATACTATAATCTAAGTAAACAATAAAGAAAAGAAAATTAATGACCTTCACTCTGTCTTAAAAAATAACTGCATCAATGCTTCTCATCTGTATCAATGCTTCTCAACTTTCTTTCTCGATTAATGATAAATCTGATGACAAAGCAATTTGACGTGTTACGCAAAAGAAACGTGTGTTACGGGACGTGTTTAAATTTGTGTATAAATGAATGCACATATATTATGCGCGTCTCTATTACACATTAAAGATTAGTCATTAATCTACATACTATAATTAAAACAAAGTACATGCGCATTTTCATTAACACATACAACATAAAATACAGAAAAATTATAAAATTACAGAAAAATTTATTTTTTCTAGAGAACTTTTCGTGAAACATCGAAATATCAATCGAAAAGCACTGATTCAAACATCGTATTCGTTCGTTGCTCTTGTTTATGTGTAAAGCCCAGTGATTTTGCTAATGTTCTGAGAATATTTTGAAAATATTGTGAGGATACTCCGCGAGACGCGAGATATCCAATGAATCTTTCGAAAATATTCCTTCGTCTCAATTTGCTATTACCATGTATATCATCATAGATGCTGTTCCATCGTAATGTCATCGTGTATCTCAATCACGCCATTTCAAATGCGATCAAAGTACCATTACAAACGTCATCCTTCGGAAAGGTCTTGTAAACGACACTATATACATTCGTCTTCTCGTCATAACGCACAAGATGCTGTTGTCTAGTCGTTGAGGAAAGATATAAAAAAGAGAATTTAATAAGAGAGAACGAGGAAAGGACCTGTTTCTCTCTACAAATGGTAAACGGTGTCTAGTGCAACAGGATACCTAGTTTATCTCTCTAAGGAGAGTTTCTGTTTCTAAGGAGCAGCAGGATACTTAGTTTATCCTCCTTCATCCTCGTATCTCAATTGCCGCTGGAGCCACACGTATCTTGGAGCTCTAGACTTATCCAGGAATCTAGACTCGTCCAGAGCGTAAACACTCGTTGTTCTTTATTCCCGAGCGACTATCTGACCTGGACGTCGCACCGGTATCCTACGTCGAGGAGCCAGGAGGCCGCTCAGACCTCGTGTCTCCTCGTGCTTCGTGCTGGCCGCCGTGCTGGTCTCGGCGGAGATTGCTTCGGTCGACTCTGTTTCGTCGGAAATGACCTCTTCTTCGGAGGCGACGTCTTCCTGGCTCGATTGAGCTACCGGTGCCTCGGTCGCCTTGCGTCGCGGCAGCAGCGGTGATCTTCTAATCGCCGGTGATAATGCTGGCGCCTTCGTCGTCGTCTTTGGATGCACCTGCAATCGGTTGCGGTTGCGAAGCTTGTTCAGGGGATTCGATGTGGTAGCTCGCGCTGGCGGCGAGCTAGTTTCCGCAGGTGCCTGCGAAATGAGAGACGAGTTAGTCGAATTGGAGGCAAAGAACGTGCAAAATATCTAAACAAACGTATTCGTTAACAATCACTCAAACTACATTGTTGCATCTTAGATTTTGCGCAGAGTATAGTGTACAGAGAGAGAGAGTATTGTACAGATTTTGGAAAATAATGGACGAAGACGCGGAAAGCGCTCAATAAGTACAATATTTAATTATTAGTTTCAAATTTGAGTAACAATAATTTTGAATGCCTGCTTCTTTAAGATGTTAAAAGAAATCATTTCCCCTATAATATATCGATTTTCTTGCTCTTTCTGTCTCCATTTTACCTCGATCTTTCGCGCGTTTATCGACGTTTAACATCCGTAATCACGACGACCACGATGTTGTAAAGTCGAAAGATGAAAAGCGGTCGCGCGCCGCTCCCGCCGGCTCATCGATGACATTTTGAAAGGCCATTCAGTGAAAGTGAATCCCGAGAGAGAACTTTGTCAAGTGACATCACTGCATCTTCATAGCTAATCTCGCAGCTGAAGATATGCAGACATGTATTCGAGACAAAGTTTCAGAATTGATCGTGTCATTGCAGGTGGAATCTTTCGTCAAATCATGTTCATACACAGTTTCAGGTCATTTAATAATATTATTTAATAATATAGATACGTTGAATGGAGAAACGTGAAGAAAACTGAAATGATCACGTGTCTAAATTTGATCGGATTCTCCATCTTTTCGTAGTTTTTGAAATCATTAAAAGTGTTTAACATTAAAAGGGTTAAGAAAGAATTTTGATAGTGTGCATAACGTTACGTAATAACCAATCGGTCCATATACGAGATCATTTGAATGTGTAATGAGTGATTCAACCATAGCGCGTCATTAACCACGTTGAAACGTAGATTTTTATTATCTCGCTGTATCAAACTTTTAAAACCGGCTCGGCTAGAACACACGCGACGAATAATGATATAATGATACAAGTTGGAACAATTGAATTCCACGGCGTGCCATTTGCAGGAGAAAGCTAAAATTGTTAGGCGGTCGGATAAATTAGATCATCAACTTTTAATGTTCATGATGTTAACATAATAGAAAGTTCTCTTGTTCCAGACAATAAATATCGCGTGAAGTAACATGTTACGAGATATACGTTGGTATCTCGTTATTTTTCAACAAAAAATATCGAGATATCATTCATAGATATTTTGATGCATAATAAGTTCACAGAATATAGGAACGACAGATATAAGAAAAAAAAAATAGCCAAAAAATTAGCCAAATAAATGAAATTAAATTAAATAGAAACACAATTAAGAGATAGCAATCATTAACCTCGTGAGTCTCCTCCTCGGTTCCTTCTCCGGCCGGCTCCTCGATGGACGCGTCGGCAGCTTCCGGCGCGAGTGTCGTCGTAGTCGTAGTCTGTCCCGGTTTCTGCCTCAAGTTGACCCTGGCGCCCGGTCGAATCGCAGGTCTAATGGCGGGTGCAGTACCAGGAAGTCTCGTTCGCGCGACGGACTTCGGAGCGGAGCTCGTCGCGGTTTCTGGCGCAGTCTGGGCGACCGTCTGGCTAGTTTCGGAATGTGTCGCTTCCTGGGTCTCCTCGCTTGCCGGCGAGGCTGTAGTAGGTCGTCCGCGTCTGCGGTTGATGTTCAACTTGTTGAAAGTCGGCCGGGCTGCTCCCGCGGCGCCGTTCGATGTTGGCGAGGCGCCGTTTGACGGCGGCGATGTCGTCGTCGAAACGGCGTTTCTGCCTCCAGCGGGTGCACGGAATCTGCCGCGACCGGGGCCCGGTTTTTCCGCGTTCGCTGTATTGGACGTTTCCTTCTGCACGGTGTCCTCCTCGATGGGTTTGTGGCTACCGGCTGGTCGCGGTCGTTTGAAGCCACCGCCGCCGTTCGAACCGTTACCGCCGAAACGCGTTCGGCTTCTCTGAGTCGGTTCAGATGCAGGCGCCTCGGTAGTTGTGCTGGCACCGTTGGACTTGAAACTGAGAAAAATGAGTGATAATTATTCTTAGATATCGTCGAGCTTGTGATCATTATCACGTCAGATTTCTAATTGTCAGTCGATGAACGATAGTCTAGAAAAAAGAGAAAGATCAGATTCACAAGAACATACCGGTTCCTTGAGATAGCCGGACCGCCTATTCCTGGTCGTCGGAATTTTCCTCTTCCGACAGGAGCTTGAGTCGTGGTAGTTGGTGGTTCCGTTGTCGTAGTAGTCGTGGTCGTCGGCTCGGTCGTGGTGGTGGTCGTCGTCGTCGTCGTGGTGGTGCTCGTGGATTCCGTGGTGATTGTAGTCGCAGAGAGTTCCGTCGTCGTAACCGCATCGTCAGTTGTAATCTCATCGTCAGGAAGCGTCGTGCTGTCTCCTGTCTCACCTACTTCACTGCTGGACGCATCTATCAGGTTACTTTGTCCCTGCTGTAGGAAAGCGTAGAGATCCAGGGCGACCTTGTCCATGGCCGACGGATATTCCGTCGTTGGATTATCCGTGGTGTCGGCGGCTGTGCTGGAGGAGATCGGTGAGGTTTCTGTCTCGCCGGAATCCTGTGTCTTATCTTCGAATGATATACGCTTAATGCCGGATTTTTCTGGGGCAACAGTCTCCTCTTCGTCATCTTCCGCGCTGGAGCGCACCGGTTGACCTCTGCTCAGTTCCACTCCGGTCTAAAAATTCAATTGGGCGTATATAATATATGAAACAAAATCTTCCTAGTTTCGAGAATCGCTATAAGACTCGCTATAAGAATCGTTTCCAAGAATCGCTATAAGACTCGAATGGAACTTTGAATTAATTAGATAGTAATTGTAAAGCGTTGAGTACTTGTATCTTCCATGTATATGTATCCGTTCTTTTCGCGGCAAGTTTTCTCATCAACCATATGGTCGAGAAATATGCTCTTCTTATATCAAATACATTTACCAATTTCAATACGTGGCATACAATATTGCATCGAGAAAACCGATGGTATCGCTAGTCTAATTACTGTTTCACACTTACAATTATTATATTACAATTCGGTTAACTACCTCGGGCGCTGCGGTGGAGGTCGGTCGCCTTCTGTTAGTAAGCGTCGGTGTGTCGTCCACTGTTTCTTCGACGGGAGCTGGCTCTTGAACCCTCTGCGGTCTACCGCGGCTTCTGATCAGCGGTTTCTCCTCGTTATCTTCGTTAGGGGTAACTCCCAGAAATCTGACCGGTCCTTTCGGTAAAGTTGGTGGGAACTCGGGGCCCTCTTGATGAGTTCGAAAGCTGCTGGAATCGACCAAGTCTAGACTCGGTCGTGGTCGGTTGCCGCGCGCTCGCGAGGGTTCCGTTGTGCCCGTGTTGTGATTCGATCGAGATCTGTTCAACAGACAATCGTATTGTTAGTTGAATTTCGCATGGCGAACCGTACATGGCTTCACTTGATCAAGATTTACCTCGGTGGGAAGCGAGTGTTCGCTGGCAATCTCTCCTCAGAGACGTCCTCAGCCTCGACGAGTTGCCTACCTCTGTTACCGTTTCTGTTTGGTATGACCTCATTGTTGCTAGGCTCCACGGTGCTCGACCTCTCCACAGTGTTGTACTTGCTCCTGTTGCCAGCGGTACCGCCTCTCCTGGGCGCGGAAGTCGTTCTGGAAGGAATGTCGTAAGAATTCGTCACAGCCGAGCCCGCTGTACCCGCTTTACTTTCATCCTCCTCGTCGTAGTAATAATAAACATACTCGTATTCGTAGTCCTTGCCGTTCGGCCCCTTCTTCACCTGTCAGGTGTGAAAATTAAGAGTTATATAATATTATATATCTATACATATCTTATACATAGTAATGATGATAGTAATTCATAATATTCATGACTTACCTGAATACGAGAATTTGTACCAGCCGGTACCAAGCTCACATCGCTTAAGTCGCCAAAGTTTGCGTCGGAGAAACGCGCGAAACCATCCTTGTTATCTTCGCGAATAATATTTACGGGGACGAAGTCAAAGGAGCTGTCTTTGCCACGTGCTTCGCGCGGAGTTGTCAGAACCGGTAGCATTGTTGTTGGATATTCGGCACTGAAGATACGTAAATGATACATAAGCATTGTTGAAAAAGAACTTTTTATATTCTCATATTAATTAAAAAGTTAAAAACTCGCGCCTTATATGGAAAAAAGATGTTTTCTCTCAACAAAGTTCAGGTAGCTAAGAACGGTTTATATTCTTTTCCTTGAAAAAAATGGCAAGAATAAAAATTCATGTCGATATCAGTTTATTGTTTATCGTTAAATCGCCAGAAAATATTTCAACCTGTGTGCTTTTCATTTCTCACAGGTTTCCATGATCAAATGCACTATGAGAGTGTTTTACCTGACGTAGACACCCGGAATAACTTCGTCCTGTTCGCTCGGGCGCGGTCTCCTAGAATCAACTCTTCTTATTCTTTCCTCTTGCAAGACCTTTCCAGTGTCGCTGAAATTTTCGAGCTCCACTCGTGCTTGTCTTTTAGCGGTGAGGCTCTCGAAGTCGTCCTCCTCGGCCGAGTCTAAGCGTCTGACAGGCTCGAGGACAGCCGGCTTCTTCTCGACGTTCTCGAACTTCGGGATGACTTTCTTGGAGTGCTTGTTGTCCTTAAGCGCGACTTTCTTCTCTTCGATGTAATCATCGTAATAGTCATCCTCCAATGGTCTCGCTACATTTTCCGGCAGTTTGTGCGACGACACGAATTCTAGAAATGCATCGAAACTCATGGTTCTTCTCGATGGATTGAATAAAATTTTATAAACTTCTTAAAATTCAAGGTTCTCCGCTCGATCGTCGCAAATTCCAAAAATTCATTGAAATTCACGGCTCCTCTCTCGACTGATAAGAATTTCGAAAACTCGTTAAAATTCAAGGATTCTGAGTCAATTGCCACAAAAATTCCTGAGATTTATAAAAATTCATGAGCTCCTGCGCGAATTGTCCAACGTTAAATTAGTTTTCCTTCAAATTAATGTATAAGGTATACCTTCAATCGGGATGGCTCGAGGTGGTTGATAAGTTGTGGCCGCTACATTTTTTGCTCGAGCCAAATTGCCACCGGATATCTGCACGATATCCGACGAGCTGTCAGCCAGCGCGCAAGCAATGACACCACATATTCTGTAAAATATAACGCAAAATACGTTACTTATCAAAATATTGTGCGATAATTTGCGGCGAACGGAAAATATTTTTGACAAGACGTCATTTCCTTCTTCAGAAAATAGTAATCCCAATCTATTTATTATATGAATTGTAATTCATCTACGGAAACAGAACGTAATTACGAGGTTTTATCAAACGCAAGAAGATTTGCAAGCATAATTGGTTAATTATTTTATTATCTTAGAGTGTAACGCCTATTCACTTAGTGTAATCCCTCAATTATATAATTAAGTACACGCTCTATACGCGTATACCTTCATTAAAATAATTATAATTGAAGGGTTACGCTTTCGTGTTGCCTGGGAATGTAAACGACTGATGCACATATTGTGCAAATACACGCGGCAAAAGAAGCAGTAGGAAGGAAAAGAAACAGAGAAAAAGAGAGAGAGAATTATCGAGTCATCGCGCGACATAACGACGCATCAGCGAAAGTGATAAAGGCGCCTGCAAGATGCAAGCAGGCGAGGTGTAAACGACGGCAGAACGCGTGTACAGCTAATGCAAGTCTTGACGTGGTGAAAGTTCACATCTGGTCGTCGAGTCGAGCAGGCTGCATCCGACTCGCCCTGTTCTCCCGACTGGACCGCGCTCGATTCTTCACACCTATCGTGCGAAAATTAAAGTTCACTCACAGCGACGTGAAACACACGTATCAGCCATGAGGAGTGTGTTAGGAAACGTGTGAATTCAAGATATGTGGAAATATAAAAAGATGTAGAATATAGCTGAATTATTATTATAATTTGCTCCATTGCGCGGACGAAAAGGGAACGATTTTAGAAACAAAACTTATTGAACTCGAGAATGAAATGATTGTAGAAAAATATTTCCTGATATATTTGAGACACCGAAGTAAAGATAATAGTTGAATGAAAATTAATTATTATTTTTCACGATCCGAAAGGTGCATAACTCCTTTCGAAGAGACACTTGAATTTTCAATCTGTTCACTTGGTTGAAGCTAAAGACCCTTTGACACCAACTCTTCTTATTCTGCACGAGCAATTTGCAAGAACAGAGAGAAGCGCTTTTATGTGTTCGGCTCAATTTTACCAATATAATTTAATTGTAAAAAAAATGTCAAGGCCGTTTATTGACGAGCCTGCAGATACCAGCGCGCGACCTCGTTCCCCTTTTTCTCAAGGTTGTCGGAATCGGTAACTTCTGCAGAGGACACTCGTACACTTTCGGAGTTGATGAACTTTTAACGGGTTAACATTCCATCTGCAAACACGTAACGTCGGTATAGTTTTGCGACGTTCCTACTTTCTAATGTAAACGTATTTTAACCAGTTTTGAGAGAAAGAGTTGCGAGGCAATGATAATCTCTGAGTACGCGGCGTTGCGTCCGCAAGGACGATCGGTTACGACCAATTTCCCCCGTGGACGAAGGAGAGCCGCTTCTGAAATGGATACGATCAGATCCAGGGTTCCTTTTTTCCCGGCAAGATGCGATCGGCAAGGGCATTGCGTGATCGTGGGACTGACATTTCGACAGGCGATCTCCCTGACAAAATGTCAAATGTGTATCTTTGACGCGTCACTGCGCTAAAGTGTGTGTCTCATCGATTCTATTTTTAGCTCGGCTCTGCACCGTCGAATTTGCGTAACTCGCTTCGCTACATTATCCTTTATCATTTCTGCGTTAGAAAACCACCGCGTTTAGTTCTCGTGAGTGAATTCCTTCGAAAAGAAAGAATGCACGAAAGTTTCGCGCCGATCAGCGCAACATGTTTTTCCATCGCGCGTGACTCCCGACTTTTTCTTTTCTACCGTAATCGATCGGTTTACCTTCTAATCGTTGAAGACGTTTCGATTTGCTGTAGGATACGATATCAGCTCGATATTCTGATATTATATCAATTTACTGTAGCGAGATGAAAGGGAAACGGGTCCGCGACATTTGCGGGAAACCGCCGCTGAATGCGCACACCGACAGACCGTTCCGTTCGAGCGGTCTTCCGGTACAGGAATAACTTACTATAACCGGAATACATTTGCAAATAAAGTAGAACGAATTATAAGACATGTTCTTTCCCTCCATCGTGTATAGAACTCACGATCGAGTCAAATATAGTAGTGGTGAATGTCTGTACTTGATTAGAATTAATCTCGTTTACAGCATTTTTCACCGCCTGTGAGATGTTTGTTGGTGTTTGCTCGATGAGAAAAATCCTTCACCATAGCTGTTCGAAATTTCAGCTTTCCGCAAAATTAGAAACGCAAATACACGTGTTAATATACACAGAGCCAACAAGCTACCTTTCACCCGTGGATTCTCTCTGAGCGACATGAAACCGGCTTTTCTTCACGAGGAAGATAACTCTGTGTAAAAATTTTCTTTTGCTGTACATAATTTCGTTCCGTGTTATCCTATCTAATAATCTTATTCTAAAATTATTTCACATAGTAGAAATAAGAGAAATAATCGTTAATTCGAAACTTCGTCTTTATTGAGTTGAAAAACCTCCCGAATTTTCGAGTCGCGCCAGACTTCGCTTTCCTCGTGAGACGCGAGACCGGTAAGAATTTCACGACTGACACCGGAGGAAGGTGCGAACCGCGGTCGTTAAATTTCGAGAGCGAGGTGTAACGGCGCATCCCGTAACTCAATCTTAGACAGCAAACGTACGCTTAATGCTGGAATTTATCGTGAAATCATACGGAGAAAGCGGTCTCGCTTACAGGCGTATCTGCATAAGCATACCGCGTACGTAGGTATCTCCAGTGGCACGAGACACTGACATTACGTAAGTCACAACACATCGCTGCAAAAGCCTATTACCAAGTCGTAAATATTTTTTCACGCCGCCTACAAAAGACGGCTCATCGCGGATTCGCTGGAAACTAACTGGAGAGAAGAAACGTCAAGCTTCGGCGAGATATCTCGAGTGCATTTATTGCACGAGGGTGAGCAATATTTTTGTTTCGTTACTTAATGATCTAACTTTATAATTACAGTTACAGTCTTTTTAGCGCAACAGACGCGTGAACGCGTGCGGGATCAGAATTTCCCAAGCGAATGCGTTATTGTTGCGATACTTGCGTTATTGCGAATTTACGGTTAGATCAGGTTATAGTCGAAATCGAAACACGAATAACGAAGTGTTTAAATACTCGATGATCCATAGCGCGTTGAGCTTTCTATCGTGTCTGGTTTTGTTTTGCCTTATAATGTATATTATGTGTAATAACGTATTCATTAGGTAAAAGTATGCGACATTTTAGTCATTCGAGACATGTAATTGTTTAGCAAAACGTATATCATCAGAAGCATGTCCTCATTACCGTGCATTACACGTAAATTATACGTAGCTTTCTTCTGCGAGATTATTACAGACGCCGCCGTGAAATCGAAATGCAGCTAATGATGTGTTTAACCGAGAGGAGCGCTGCAAATTCGTATATTTGCGACGCTCTCGCCAAATTTGAAAGTAACGAGTGGCATCCGGTGTGCGCATCGTCCATCTTCTGTCCGTTGAGCGCTTGCTTCATTTTGCAATATATCCTCGTTTTAACGACAAGTCTCCATTATAAAAATATTTATGTTTATTATGTTTCAAATATCATTTCTCATTTTATGTAATGTTCTTGATAGATTTGCGCGGGAATAATATTCACTAAATGTATCATCTTAGCAAGGTGCACGACGATCGGATTATCGTAAGTTGTGAGCCAGCTGCACTGATTTCTATTTTCGATGGATATCTTAAAATTGAGGACAATGTCTGTGCAAGTTTCTCTCAAATAAATCATACATCTTCCTCAATAAAACCACGAGTAATCGGCGTATCTAAGAGAATGAGTAGAAGATTGCGCGCGCCTTTCGCGACGTAACTCAGGAATATAATGTCTTTTGACCATGAAAAGATGCTTTCTTTAGGATCGATAGTCATTTATAATCACTAATGATGGCCTTACAAGAGCTAACGTAGAGGAGATCGTTTTCACTGTTCGCGCAGGTATCGCAGCAGAATCGACGTAGATTAACTGTAATTATAAAAATATCGAGGCCAACCTTCTGGACATTTTATAATTGCGTCGCGCTTTCGAGAGACTGTCATTACAAAAAATGAAGCCGAGAAGGTGGCCGAAATTATACGACGTATCACTTTTGCTTCATAGTACGTTTCCCGAAGCGGAACTAGTTGCAAAGCGCATTCTGCTTACGGAACACTGTAAGAAAGTATGCTGTAATGACCTTTGTTACGATCTCGATAACAATTGAGGGTATTACATGACATGTGCGTTTAACGGTTATTTAAAACGGGAAGAGGATTTTCAGTACTCGAATTGATGCCTCATACTCGATATTAAACGCGACTGTTCAATCCTCAGCTTGATGTAAAGTGTCAAATAAAACAAGCAAAGAAATAGAAAATTAAAATAAAATACAACAGAGTTAAAAACGTGTGTTCGCGAGACGATTAAAGTCTCGAGAAAATGCGTGAGTTTACTTTCATTTCACGAGAAATTATGCAAAATGCAACCGACATTTAACAAAAGGAGCGAATGCAAAATTGAACATTGAACAGTGTCTATGCAGGAAGAACGTAAACAGGAACTGTTGCGGAGGAGCGCGATGCGTAGCGCGTAGATCGCAATGAAGATAGGCGCGAGAGCTATTGACTAACTCAATTACCATTTCTAACGAATGTAGAAAGGAGCTTCGCTGCGAATCGCAATTCGAACGAACAAGCCGTGTCAGAGGCGAACGTCTAATCGTTCGTCAATCAGCGCGATCCCCGACAATTAAGTTCCTCTAACTTCCTTCTTCTCTCTCTCTGTGTTCTCGGATAATCGTGGAAACTCGCAATTAATATTTACAACATCAACGAGATGTAATTTCACGAGCATTTACTCTTTTCACATACGACCGTCACTGAGATTTCTCTCTCACCACCAAACGAGCGTCTCCGAGCTACGGAAAATTGCTGTAAACTGTCGGGTACTCACAGTAGCACGCTTTTCAGCCACATGTCTGCACTGCACACAGTTCTTCCCCTCGTTCTGTTCGCCTCTTCTCGTGCTGCTTCCGCCGTGGAAAGCGAACAGCTGGCTGGTCCAGGTGAACGAAATTCTCCTCGGCACTCTCGACAATGTCGACGTATACTCTCTTTCTCTTTCTCTCTCTGCGCGCGAATATATATATATATGCTACCGACGTTTGATATTATATATATATGTATACGTATTGTCACCGGACACTCGCGACCATCTCTGCTCTCTTCTCTCGCGATCGCGACTGGCACTCTAGGTGCGCGCAGAGGTATCTGGCCGTGTAGCCGTTGGTGTGTTCACCAGTTAGGTCGACTCTCCGCTGTACGTGGCGGATACGTGCGCCTTGGTCGACGTGACCTCTGGTCAGCAGTCACCTTCGTGACGCGACTTCGCCGACGAGGTGCGAAACAGCCGAAACGGAACGAACGGGCGAACGGACGGCGAGGCGAACGAACGCGCCGAGGCGGACGGAGAGAAAGAAAGATCCAGTGAGAGTGTGTACGAGAGAAACGGAAAGAGAGACAGAGAGAAGGAGAGGAGAAGAGAAGGAGAGAGAGAAAGAAAAAAAAAAGTGAAAAAAGGGGCACTGAGTAAAAGTAAGAGGTAGCCGAAGGACGTGGTGAGGGTATGAGAACGGTGGCGAATGCAGGCCTCTACTTATACCGCCACCCACCACGGCCACCTGGAGAGCACCCCACCAGCCTATGAAAACTGGACACCACGTAGTCGAACTCGACTCGACTCGGCTCGGTACACTCGATCTGCACACCGGGGGCCAACGGGGACCCGAGAGATCCTGGCTGACTGACTGACTGACTGACTGACTGGCTGGCTGGCTGGCTGGCTGAACGCTCGCCCGGCGACTTAGCTCGTCCGAGTGTCTAAGTCCTCTCGACGTTTGATCTAACTTCGCGAAGCAGCGTTTCTGCGAAGTGCATGAAGTAGTCCGACTCTCTCCTTCTCGCGTATCCTGTGGCGTCCGGACCGCGAATCGAGCGCGGTCTAATCTCAACAAACTTAAACAAGCCGAAGATACACAAAGGCTCCGTGATTGTTTCCGACGAATGGGAGTTTGCCATTTGCCGTAAAGTACACTCATCCGTGTCTATGGTATTGGAAGTTTACCAGAATTATATCGAGTTTCAATCCAACACGACTTATTCCACTAAAAACGGCCTTTTGTTAAAAATTATATTAAATCATTTAACAAGTGTTTAGAATCACTACATTAGGTCACTCAAAAAACCTCTGATTTAATCTTCGAGTCAAATTTGACTTTATTGTATTTTATGGGAACAAATTGTTCATCAGTCGAATAACTGCCGTTGTTCTTTATAATTTTTCGCCGATGTTCTCACAGTATTCTATATTGTACCTCTATCTTAAAAGATAACCAATTACTGTTGAAGACTGACCGAATTTTTTTAACAACTCAGTACATCTATGGACATATTTGCTTTTGAGCAAAATATGATTATATTGCATAAAATATGATTATATTGTTTCACTTAGGAACGCAATCGACGAGTATTTTTTTCGACATTATCACCGTAACGAAAAATTTACTCCGATGACACAATCTTAGTCCACCTTCTTTCCTCCTTTCCTCTTAGATTTTTTCTCAAATTTCTCAAGGACCCACTGACTGCGCACGGAGGGATTTCACGAAGATTTCGAGATGCGTCTCGATTAGCGCGAGTGCTTTCACAATATGCAGTCTCGCCTGAATCACGCAAAGTACACTGAAAAGGCGGTTCTCACATTTGGAATGCTAAGCTGGTCACGTCGGAACGATATCTGGTCGAACGGTGACAAAATGAGGAAGGGAGCACGAAAGCGTAAAACGTGGAATCGCACTTCGACAAGCTTTTCCTCGTGGAGACAACTAGCGAAGCGCGATTCCGCCATGGATACCGAGAGCGAAGCGTGCCTGAAAGGATCGATAATCTTTATTGAGGGCATTGCATAAGGCCTGCAGCATCTTCACTTCCTCCTACACTCGGCGAGGAGATATCTCTTTGGGTTTCTATTTTCGCCGAGCGGTAAGCCTTCGCAACCATTCGCGTAAATCTGCAAATTTTTAACGAGTGATAATAAGCAGAAAGGAACTCATATCTAGTTATTACTTCATATAAAATATTCCCATTCTCTTCCTCGCGCGAGCGCACATAACGCGATCTTCTCTAGTTGGATTATTTTATGCTCAATTATGAAGCAGAGTTGCGTTAGATAACATTGCATGGCATCTTAGAATAATTTTTAATCAAGAGTGCACATTCGTTTTGGCTAATACTAGAAGCAAAACCAGATAATATCGCGCGAGAAACGTCGCAAATGAGCAAATGTCGGGATGCAATTAATGAATTAAAGTAACACAGACGATTCGTGTTCATCGTCAGGGGAAATTGGCGAAGATGGCGCACGTAGATCGTCATCGTAGGTGTCAAGGCCCGGTGAAACCGACAGCCGTATAACTATTCAGCCCGAAGCGTCTCGCCGAGAACCAGAAGGCAGCTGCGGCGTTAAAGGTCTTTGCGTCTCGTTGCGCAAGAAGAATGTCGATCCATTAGGACCAGGCCAGGCCACGATAATCCGCGAGTGAGCAAACTGAGAATATCGAACGATCGAATTGACACGGTTTGTCTTCTCCTTAGCCAGACGAAATTGTGGGACAACGCCACGATACACGTGGTCCCGCGCGTTGAAGTTTCCCAAGAGCGCGAAGCGCTCGTCATTCGATCGTTAGGTGATGGCGGAGTGAGGAATAGAAATAGGGGTTTTGTCAGCTAACGCAACGAGGCGTGACTCTCTGGAGACAGAGCCCCGAATTTTCTACTTTTCCGACTTTGAGTCATCGGTCGATTTCTCTGCCGTTTGCGCAATTATGTCCGATCGACGCAAATACGACGCGCTGATCAAACAGTCAATCCCAATGGCGAGGGTGTCGCAAGGATAATTGTGAAAAATAATTGAAAGCGAGTAAGTACAATGTCAGGATGAGTGGACTCAAGCTAACCTTACCCGTGACAATCTAAATTTGAGATCAAGGCTGGAGCAAATGTTTACTTTGTGACACGCATGTGGAGCTTCGTTAACAGTTGACATTAGAATCTTTTGCACTGGTCGTTTGGACCTTTCACCTGTCGTATCATGAATGCGATACGCTTCCAGTCTCACATTTCGCTGTCACATCCCATCGTCGAGATCACTCTCTGATCGACTCTACGGTAGTTAGTTCGTGATCAATCAAGTAACGATCGTAACGGTGTAATAAGCATATCTACAGTTGAGATAAGAGAGCGAAAGGAGGTGATCCGAAATCATCGGTTTTCGCGTCACGAGACGGAGCTCGCGGTGATTTTCTGTAGGCGTGCTGTGTGTACACGTGTAACGACCACCGCGGCTGTGTGTACGTGCGCGTCTGTATACATATCTACGAGACTTTCTCTCTTGCAAGGAGAGCACCCGTGCTCGCGCCCCTTGGGTAGACAAGCACGCGAAACGCGGCAGAACAATGTCTTTTTGCCGGGCTATTACACCGCGAATGGGGTGACATAACGCGCGAGGTTCAATGTGGTTGCAACAAGCTCTTCGCCACGTAGGCGAACGTAACGTTAAAATATTGCGCTGTGCATCCACCGTAACGAGAGATGCTGCTGAAAGTTCGTGATATAATATTTGGGGACGGGCAATTGCATTATCTGATGGAAAACGCAATAATTGCGAATTCGGACTTGTGTATCGAGTCAATCAGAAAATTCGAGTCGATTCTAGAGAGAGAGAGAGAGAGAGAGTCAAGTTTGAATTTGCTGCATCCAACATGTTCAGCAACCAAGTAATCGCTGCCTTTGTCTTTAGTAGACATCTATTGTTGAAGGTGTCTGACTCATTGTCAAAGAAGACAGAGAGTCGAACCGAACTTCCTGATTGACTCAATGTTTTCTCTCCTAGACATTTCTTTCGTTATCGCTGTTATTAGCGCGTCTGTTTCACTGTCTACTTTATTCTACGCGAGCAGCTTTGATTTATGAATACCCAAACGTAACGTATTCCTTACAAAGAAGAAGTGCCCGTTCAGTAACGGAAACGTATGGATGACGTTCAGCGTATCATGCTTTGTGTATGGAATGTATTAACTCTCGGAGTCGATTGCCATTCAATGCAGCGCGTACTATATCCGCTGCAACAGCGGAACGTCTGTGTACGAGTCGAAGGCTAAATACGGAGGGCCATTGACTGCGAACCGCGAACGCGCTTCTGGTAGAACGGAGAAATTGCCGTTGTCCAACGGCCTTGTCGAATAATAACGATCACTCAGAGATCGAGATCGCGTCGGAACAAACGAGCGGAGGAAAAAAGTTGGAAGGTCTCTCCCAGGGAGTGACCTTCTCAGCGTTAGTGAACTTACCGTCTGGTGCTTGTCTCGCGACTGTTTCGTCGTCGACGAAAGACGGAGTCGCGCGTTTCGCATCGAGGACGGTTACTCGAAACTACTCGGCGCATTTCGCGTTCTGATCCGTAAGTGACGCGCTCTTCCTTTCTATCGATAGCGAATGACTCCAGCCGATCGCCAGCACCGCATCGAAACGATTCTCTCGATCTCGATCGCGTGTCTCGTCGAGAGCCGAGGCCGTCGGTACACATACGTGTGCACTTTAAAGCGCCGATACACGCGTGCACGGTATACTCGCGGGAAACGGAGAACCTTGACGGCACTTTCGCGGAACTCGCGCTGCATCCCAATCGACCTTTAAAGGACCAACCGTTTTCCCAGTACTTTCGAAGAGCAAGTATAGCTCGTGAGCTCGAGTAATACCTGACCGGAATCCTCAGCGTCTCCGAGCGTAAAAAGACATTTTTAATACACGAGTGCGCGCTAGCGACTTTCGAAAGTCGATGAACAGTCCGAAATAATTCGCGGTTTCTACGCGACAGATTTCTTCTTTCGGATTGATGCAATGAAACGCTTTTAGACAAGGCCGAAATGATCACTTTTAGAGAAAGACAAATTAAATATGGACGTGGTAAGAGTCTATCCAGGACTCGCTGCTGCCGCGATGGATCGAAATTTCGATCGTGCTCTCACTGATTTAACGTTAAACGCCTTCCGCACCTACTTCGCGGCCGTTTACGT